TGCCCCCTGACTTTCTTAAACCACTGGATTGTTCCCAGCCAGGGGGGCTTTATACTTGTGCTTGTCCAAGTCTAATCTTTCTTTCTTTCTTTTTTTTTGAGACAGGTCTCACGATGTAGTACAGGCTGGCCTTGAATTTATGTCGATCCTCCTGCCTCAGCCTCCCAAGTGCTGGAATTACAGGTGTGCACCACCATGCCCAGCCCAAGTGCCAGTCTTGCTCAGGCCTAACCTTCAGGGACCTTGCTCAGGCCCCTCCAAGGCCTCTCTGACCCTGGACAACCCCCTCTCTCCAGTACTGTGCACTTTGTACCTGATGCCTCAGGTTTTTCGCTGAGCCCCTACCACAGAGATGTGCTTGGCTCCTTTCCAGCCTTACTCCCGGGCCTGCCACACAGCGAATGCCAAGGAAACGTCCTTCCAGGTCTGCAAGGCCTGGAAGGATGTCTCAATCATCCTTTTTCCTCTCTGGTCTCAGTTTCCAAATCTGAGAAGTGGGCCCATCCTTTATCCAGGCTGTTCATGGGAAGGAACAGAGCCTTGTGGTGGGGAACAGGCTGGCTCCCCAGAAGGGTTGGGCCAGAAACAGGGCTAAGCCCAAGTGCAGCACCAAGGTCTCAGCCCTGAAGGATGGATGGAGGATGGAGCATGGGGACTGGTGGGGGGCAAGGATCCAGATGGGGTCTGCATAGGCAGACACCTCTGACCCTGCCCTCAGCTGTTCCACATGGCCCTCACCCACAGACTCCTCCCAAACCCCAGCCAGCCTCCTGGATACTCGATGTTACTGTCCCCATTTTGCAGGGGAGGAAGTGGCAGTTGGCAGGGCAGAAGGAACCTGCTGGAGGTTGTCCTGCTAAAGGAGGAGGCAGAGCTGCGTGGTCACCCCAGCACCTGGGCCTTGCCTCTACCGTCCCCACTACCAGGCCTCCCTGGCCGAGGGGTGACAGGGAGGGCTCATCTGCTTGCTGCCTGTCGCAGGATACCCACACTGGGCTCTGGAGAAGGGGCCATGGGCATGTAGCCAAGGACAGACAGGGGGCAGGGAGGCAGAGGGACAGCAAAGGAGTTGCCTTGGGTGCCAGGCATCTATTCCTGAAATGCTGAGGTGTCCCAGGGCCCAGGGAACACTCCTTGTCTGCCTGCGCCCCTGGGTGAGCTCATCCTGCTCACAGGCTTAAATCCCGTCTTTTTGCCACGGCTTCCAAATTTCTATTTCTAGCCTGCTTTTCCTTCCAGGCTCCCAACACCTCCACGTGGAAGTCTAACAGGCACCCTGGGCTCAATATGTTCAAAGCCTAATCCTCAAACCAGTGGGCACAGTGGTATACATCTGTCACTCCAGCTACGCAGGATGCTGAGGCAGGAGGATCCCAAGGTAGGAGGATCCCAAGTTCCAGGCCAGCCCAGGGAAATCAGCAAACACCTACTTTCAAAACAAACAAAAAAGAGCTAGGGAGGCACGCGTTGTATTAGATATATATAACCTCAACACTGTTGGGGAGGGAGGCTGAGGCAGGAAGATTGTATATCTGAACTTAGTCTGGGCAATTTAAGTGACTTCGGAGAGTTTGTCTCAAATGAAAAAAAAAAAAAAAACAACCAAAAAACAAAAAAGATGCAGCTCAGTGTGATGTCCCTGGGTTCAGTCCCCAAGATTGGGGGGCAGGAATGCTGGAGACATGGCTCAGCCTAGCATGTGGGAGATCCAGTTTCCACCCCAGCACCACACACACACTCAGCCACCCACACATCCTCATCTTCCCATCCCTCGGTCCTGTCCCACCTCTATTCTTTTTTTTTTTTTTTTGGCGGAACCAAGGATTGAACTCAAACCCTTGCACTTGCTAGGGAAGTGCTTATTCCACTGAGCCATCTCCCCAGCCCCCAAAGAACTGAGCTAAGGGGCAGGCCCCCCCAACTCCTATTCTTCCAGACTCCAGTAACAGTTCTGACCCTCGGCCCTGCGCGTGCATCAAAAACCCTGCTCTTCCTCCACCTCTGGTCATCAGTGAGAGCTTCTCCCAAAACAGAACCTGAACCCTGTCATTGACCCTGGCTCAGGTCCCCCTGACCTTGTGCCCACTGCAGCAGTCTCTCCACCACCCTCCTGCTGCTCCGCAGTCACCTGCGCACATCTAAAGGCCTCATGAGTCTAGACCCACTTACATCTCTCATTCTCTCTTCCTGCAGGGCAAATACCAGCCACAGCAGAGGCTCTCTGTGCTTCAAACAGCAGCAGATCCTTTTCTTCCCCAGGGCCTTTGCACTTGCTATTCCCTAGCCTAGAACTCTCTTCTCTAGCCTTGCAGGGGCTGTGGCCTTCTCATGCCAAGGACCACCTTCCCACAGATCCAGGGGCCTTCTTGGTGGCCACCTCCTGCAGTTGTCTTGGTGTCTCCCTCTGGAGTGTACAGCCTTTAACTTTTCCTCCATCCAAATCCTAGACAGGGAGATTCTCCGCAAAGGTTTACTAAATGATGGAATGAATGGGCTTCAATTTTCCCTCCAGAGAAAGGGGAGTAAAAAGTGGCACAGACCCTGACAAGTCCTAGCAGAGTCGTGGAAAGCCCTGGGGCTACCACCACCGTGCACCTGACCGCAGCAGGTGGGAGGGGACCCCGGTACCCAAGCAGGCCTGGAGCAGCTGCTTTCCCTGGATGTATTTTCCACTTCCGCTCCATGGGGCAGTGCTCTCCCGGGAGCAACACTGCTGTTACCATGCTCACGGTACTAGGAACCCAGCATAAGATGCAGAGGCTGGGAACTCAGGAAGCAACTGATAGTGCTGGCTGAGGGGCTTGAGCCTCAGTTTCCCTGCCTGTGCTGCAGCCCTGGCCTCCTCCCTAGCTTTCAGAAAATGCACGGTGCTTTCCTCCTGTGGGGAGCCCTGTTCCCTGCCCTGGGCCTGCCTTTAGACAACCTGCTATTCCTCCTGCAGAGGCCTTGACAACTTGCTTTGCCGTGGACAAGCAGTTACTGAAATCTGTCTTGGCTGGGGCTGGCCTGCTACACTGTGACCTCCAAAGGCATGTGCTGGGACACACAGGCTGACAGCCTGGTGACTACCAATTTCTTACTCCTCTGTGGAGACAACAGGAAGGTGGGGTGTGGTGGTACACACCTGGAATCCCAGCACTCAGGAGGTTGAGATAGAAGGATTGGAGAGAATTCGAGAGGATCACAGAGAGTTTGAGGCCAGCCTGGGCTGCAGAGTGAGTTCAAGGCCAGCCTGAACTGCATAGTGAAGCCCTGTCTCATGTAAACAAATAAAAGATGAAAGGGCTCTGGCACCCATGAACTCACTGATGCCCTCCTAAGCAAGGAGGGCAGCTGCTGTCTGGGTTCCCATCCCTCCAATGGGGACATGGAGGGCCACACACCTGCATATCCTTGCACCCAGCGCAGGGCCTTGCTGAGGGAGGTGGAGATCTGGAGGCCGAGCTCTGGAGTCCCATACCTGCCCCCGTTTGCACATGCGTGACCTTGGGCAAGGCACATAGCTAAGCTCCAGGTCTTAGCTTTCCTGTCTGTAGGTTGGGCATCACCATGTCTGCCTCACGTGGGCTGCTGTGAGTTTGTGAAGGACCAGCCAGGTGTGGGGGCATGGGAGGGGACAGCAGCTGATGTCCCCAGGACCTACATTCCCTGTCCAGAGCATGGCTTAAGCTAATGTCTAATGGTGGAAGATGGGAAGGAGGGTTATGCACTACAGCACTGTGCTCTCTGGGGTCCCCTCCAGTTCTGACCCTGACACCTGGTTCTTTGCAGCTCTGAGGTCACATGATCCAGAGGGGTTCTGAGAGACCAGCCTGAAGGACATTTGCCTCTCTCCCTACTGACCAGATGGGCCAGTCGCCCCCATGGTTGCTTTCCCATGTCTCACAGCCATGGCCTGTTTACATCCCCCTCTCTCCACTATCACTGGCAGTGGGCTTCTCAGGACATCTGAGGGTCCCAGCAAACCCCCAATCTAACTGTCCTTACGGGCTATAGAGAAATAGGCTGCACAGGACAAGAGACTTGCCTGATGTTTCCCAGCACAACCTAAAGGTTGTCACCCACAGAACTGCCTTCCCTTTGGCAGGAGGGACCCCCGCCTCCTTTGCCACATGTTGGTCACTTCCTTGGGCCTGAAGGTCACCAAGAGGAAGCCAGGGTTTCTGGAGAGCTGAGGGTAGCTGAAGGGGTGGAGGTCAATGTCATTCTCCTTCCTTCCACGTCTAGCCTGGCCTGAGACCCTGTTCTGCTCCTTTCCACCTCTGCACCCCTTCTTAGGAAGGGGGACGGGTCGCAACTGCTGCTCCCCTAAACCCAGGACCCTTTGTCTTCTTGCGGCTCCCACCCTGCCCTGCCACCTGGCCCTCGGCGCTTGTGGGATCAGAGGCGGGAGGGGGATTAGATCTGCAAATGGCTCCCTCTCCGCCACCCTGCCTCCCGCCTTAGTCATCTTTGCCCTCCGCCGCCTTCTCCCTCATCACAATCCTCCTGCCGGGCCAAGGGGGAGGGGACACTGACAGGCGCCCCCCGCCAGGGCCAGCGGATCCGAGCGGCTCAGAAGCGGCGCTCCCCCCACCACCTCCGTCCTCACCGCAGCCTCCTCGTAACCCCCCCCCCCTGCTGCGCACGGATGGCGCCCGAGCCGCAGAGGTACGCGTGAGCGCCGGGGGCGCCGCCGTCCTCAGGGCCCGCGGGGCTAGGTCCGGTTGCAGCGGCCGGGCAGGCAGCGTCCCCAGTCATCCCGCGGGGACTCCCGGGGCAGGAGCAGAGCCTCGACCAGTGCTGCCCCCAGCCCAGGAGAGGCGCTGGAACATCTCGGGACGCGAGTGACCCTTTGCCAGGGTCCCGGCCATCGCTCTGTCGTCCCCAAGGGACGCGGCGGCGGTGGCGGGATGCTAAGGGCGGGGGGCGCTGCCGCCCCCGGGACACTTCGAGTGGGGGCGGGGAGGGCGGGCGGGGGGCGCGGCACGGGGCCGGAACCGGGGCCGCGCTGCCCTTACCTGCCTACGAAATTCTCGAGCACCGAGCTCTTGCCGGCGCTCTGGCCGCCCACCACGGCGATCTGAGGCAGGTCGAGGTCCGCGTTCTGGCCGATGGCAGAGAAGGCATCCTGCAGCCGGTTGACCAGCGGGATGAGATCTTCCATGCCACGGTTGCCCATGGCTGCGGCGGGCCCCGCGGGCTGCGATCCGGACGCCGCTCCGGCTCCAGCTCCGGGCTCCGCCGCTGCAGCCGCGCGCCCCGACTGCGTGCGCCGCGGGTCCCTCCGCCCCTCGGGGATGCGAACGGGGCGTCGCGCCGGGCCGCCGCTAGAAGGCGCACGCTGTCCTGCGGTCTGGCCGCTGTGCGCAGGCGCTGCCCATGGCATCATGGGTGTAGTAGTTTTCTCCTTCTGCAGCTTTCGGGGCGCTTTCCCAGTTTCCAGGGGGGCAAGGATGCTGCCTCGAAGATATAATTTCTAGCGATGGACGATGTGCCATACCTAGCAGTAGGATCTTCTATGGTGGTCTTAGATACTTTGCCGCACTTTGCAGGTGGGGAAACTGAGGCCCGGAGTGACCATGGAACTGCTCCAAGGTTGTCACAGATCCTAACTTAGCCTCCACTTGACCTTGCTGCCTCCTTTAGGTCCTGCCACTAATGTCTAGTGTGTCCCTTCCTGCCTTTGGGCCTCAGCTTCCCTGTTTCTAGAAGGAGAAGATAGAATATGAATTTAACGTATATTCCCTGAGCAGCCAGGATAAAGCAGGCCCTGTCCTAGGGCTGGGTGTGGGGATTTCAGCATTGAGGCAGACAGCCAAGGTCTCCACCCTCGGAGATCTCACCACTTGTGGGATAGACAGCAAACGAGCGAGCAGGTAAAGGAAACAGGGTACGCTGGAGGAGATACTAGGAGGCGCACTGGAAAAAAAAGAAACGGGGAGTGAAGGGAGAGGGAAAAGTCCCCTGCAGCCTACCAGGGGGTTCTCTGAAGAAGTGAGGCTGAGAAGAAATCTTGCGAGGTGGCCTACACCTGTGATTCTAGCACTCAGAGGTTCAGGCAGGGGGACTGCTGAGAGCTCAAGGCCAGCCTAGACTACACAGCAAGACTCCGCACATAAAAACAACCAAACTAAACAGAACCAAACTGAACAAAACCAAACCGAACCAAATCAACCAAGATAAGCAGGCAGCCACAGGCAGTTCAGTGGACGCGTGCCAGGCAGAATGAAGAGCAAGTGCAAAGGCCCTGATACCTGGAAGGCCCTTCTGGGGAGGGTGGGGAGTTCCTGTCCTACAGAGTGGCAGTCCTGGCCCCATCCCATCAGGATGGTGGTAAAATAATGGGATACAAATCTATGTTTCTTTCGAGCCTGCTCTTCATCTTCTTCACATGGACAGACAGTGGGATTCCTAGGCCCGTTGTCCCTGCATTTGAGGAATCCATAGGACTTCCCATAAGAACACTAGGAAGGGAAGGCCAGCCTGCTCTATGCTGTGTGACGGGTCGTTTCCCTGTGTACAAACAGGGACGGAGCTGTAGCAGTGGCCTATGAATTGGGACTGTTCTTTTTTTTTTTTTTTTTGAGACAGGGCCTTATTACATAGTTCAAGCTGGCCTTGAGCTCACTATGCAGCTTAAACCCTCAGATGTTCTTGTGCTTCAGTCTCATAAGTGCTGTGATTATAGTTGTGCACCACCATGCCAGACATGACTGTACCCCTCAAATCATGTATTGAGCCAGGCACAGTGCTGGACCTCAGACGTAAAGCAGGGAGCAGATTGGACAAAGACCTTACCTACAGGTGGCTAGTGGAGAAGAGGGGGACATTCCACAAGTAAGCCAAGTATGAACCTACCTGACAGAGACAGCAAGGAAGCAGAGTTGGGGTGGGGGCGCGGTGTTAGGTGTAGAGGGTGCACAGAGATGTGTCTGGTATGGTAACCCTGGAGCAGGGATGCAATGTAAGTGAAGGAGCAACCCATGTCGAGGAGGAAATTTCTAGGCCTGCAGAGGAAAATGAGTAGTCCTTGGGAGCAGGCCTACTCAGAGGCTGGCCCGGGACTTTGACCAGCAGTATCATCTGGGTCCTTGCATCTGGGTCTTTGCATTCACCATGGCTCCCCATTTAACCTGGATGTTGTCCCGGCATAATGCCAGCTTGCAATGCCTGCACAGGGTGTGGCCCCAGCCTGGCACCCTGCCGGCCCTCATTAGGTCTCAGTGGAGAATCCATGATGGCAGCAGCTCTCTGGCCAGCCGGGACACCAGTTCCACACCCCACATCCTGAGGAGCTGCTCCGGGCCAGCCTGTTCTGGGCTCTGACAGTCAGAAAGAGCAGAGCTGGGAGCCGGGATGTGAGGTGTCATTACCTGGGGCAGGGGTGCGGTTTGCTTGGGCTTCCACACCTGTGGGGGTTCCATCACCTGGGCTTTTATTGTTTTTCACCATTTTTTTGCCTTCTTATTACAATGGCGAAACTTGCAAAAAACAGATTATTTATTGCATTACTCGGGATTGAATCCAAGATGCCC